TAGCAGCAGTACTTACTTCCAGGTTTGTTGAAATAATACAAAAGCATTTTATAAACTGCAGTGCACATATAAATGTTAGTTATTGATTTCTGAAAACCGGGCACAGAGATGTGGAAGGACAAAGTTTGCCTTGTGACAGTCTATTTTACTGACTGTGTAAAAACACATCAAAAGTGGACTATTTATTTGACATTTGCACATCATGGCTGAGCAGAGACTCAAAAACCACAGATAAAATGAGTATGTTATGCTTGAATTTCCAATATACAAAAGATGACTTATTAAGTTTCTTTGCTTTCCTTTTATGTCAACAGCTGTATGAAAAAGTTACTGGTCTAAGAAATGGAGAACATCAGCCTTCTGTTGTCCAGCAGGAAACCAGTTACAGTGGAAGGAGACTTTCCTAAATGTTATTGGGTGTTGTTGAACCTAAGGTCATGAACTAACTCCATTCTGTAGAATTGGCCACTTGAGACAGAGTTTAAATAATCTGGCTGTCTTACAAAAAGAAGGAAAGTGGAAATTTGGTGTTTTACAAATTTGGATTAGGAATAACACAGTTATAAATTTAATGTTCATGAAAAGTGAAAGTGATAGAATTGGCTAGGGTCCATCCCCAAGTATAAAACACTTTCTCATGATTTTCTGATAATTTTTCTTCACTAATGACTTATTGCATTTACATTTTTTTCTTTTCTCTTTCTCAAGTTGAAGAGTAATTAAAAGATGCAGTCAAATATTTAATTACATCTCTAAGGACTGAATTTATCAGACATACTTATAAGTAACAAAGTATAAGAAATTATAACTGTGACCTCCTATATGTAATTTTATCAGTCTTTGAAAAGTTTAATGACCTTTTGTTTAATGTAGGTGAATTTGTTTGTTACTTGACCAAAATAGACATAATTTTTTAGGCCTTTAAAGGCATTCAAAATCCGCAATATAAATTTCCTTATAAAAAATATTATGCATCTCTCAATCATTGAGCCCTAAAAGTGCTTAATAAACAAGAGAAAATGTTCACACCATGCAAAAGGAACAGACAACTATATGCTAGTGCTAATGCTCTCTAAGAAAATAGAGTAAATACTCAAATCTCAGAATAATTTCAATAGTCATTTCAATTTGTTTATGGCAGTACAATTCTTATTTTCAAAACAAATCTTACATGTAAATCTTGTGTATAAGACAGACACCACTGAAACTGCTTCCTGAAGCCCAAGTGCACACTCCTTGGCCTTGAAAAATAGGTGGGAAAGTGATGATTTGAATCCCAGTAGTGCCCCAAGGTGGGTCTCTGTGGCTTTGGAGTGTGACAGACGGGTTCCAATCACACTTCCACCATTAACTATAGTTATTTACCTTCTCTAAGACTTAGTTTCTCCATCTAAAAATGAAGATAAACAAAATCCCTTCACAAAGTGGTTGTGCAATTTTAAATAAGTTCATTTAGGTAAAGCTGATGAATTTCACCTGATTACACCCAGGGTTCCTGCTTTCAAGGGGAGTATAGTCTAGGAGAGCTGTGAGCCATTCTCAACTAGTTTCCCCTTCTATCTATCTATCAACATCCACAGCATTAAATTTCAAGCAAAAATGTCTGGTACCCTAAAGGGGCATGTATCCCACTATCTACCAGATGTGAATTTGGGTGGCCATACAGACAACTAAGCTCAAATGGAGTAGTGCAGAGATGTTAAGATGGTGAGTGTGACTGCCTTGACCCAGAGTGGAAGCAGAAAGAGAGATCTTCCAAACTTCCTGGATTAGTTGTCTGGGGAAATAGTGATGGTATTCCATAGGAAGAAGTTTCTACAAGGGTGGGTGGGATGAAAAGACAAAGGGATTTGAAGGTGGGAGATGTGTTAGGCACAGAAAAGACTGCAAGCAAAATTAGAGTCAGGGAGTGTTCATTCATCCTGTTACCTTCCAGAAACACAATCTAGTGAGGCAAATCCAACAAAGCATTATTGATTACCCCCTTGTTGATCACTTCTTTGGACTTTGCAATGGAAGCACCACAAAAACACACAAGTGTAAGGAAGCGTATCCCCGGCAGAAGTTATGACTTGTGCATCTGAGATCTGCATACCGTTTGCTCTCATTTTACCCATCCATAGGCTACAGGTCCTTCAGCCTGGGATATTCTTGTCCCTTCCTCCTTGAAGAAAAGACTCTACATGTCCATTTCTCAACCTTTGTGGGCCCAAATACAGATGTCTGATAATTCTTGATTATTTTTTCTTGACAGCATTTGATGTTTGTCTCCTTAGGTAAATAAACCCTTAGTATTTTTTCCCTGATAAAATGATCTTTCCAGAAATTCCTTTTTATAGCATGTCTACATTCTTACTATTGGAATGCAAATACTTTCTCAATAAACATAAAAAAGCATTGGTGAAACTTCCACAGGAAATGACAAGTCCCTAAAATTTAGATTTAAGTAAAATAAATACAGACATCTGATTCACAATTCTCAAGAAATACACATAATTTGTTACAGTTGTGACATCATGGAGAGATATTTACTTGCAAATTACTCAGCTTCCTTTTTTCCCAAAAATCTTGTGCTATTTCTGAATCAAGATGTCTCAATATACTACACAAAATAACTGGAAGTTAAGACTTCAATCTTGCCCTCTTCTTTATAAGATTCTTGTGAGTATTATTTAAGCTTTATTTCAGAAACTATAAAAATCACTCAATGAAATACTTCTTAATACTTAATACTACATAAGCAAAGTAAATTTTCTGTGGAAACTGATGAATAGTTTTTCATAGTCTGGCAAAAACTCTACCAAGCTTCTCTTGAAATATCAAAATGTTAAACCTGTATTTTTTTAAAAAATCATACAAGAAGTCATGTTTCAGGGTGCTAATAAAAAATAGCTAGTTATCATATGATGGTTAAATTTTTTGATTTTGCAAAAGGAAAACAAAAGGGAGGACTTTAAAATAAACATATCAACTAAACAGTAAGTAAAACAGAAATAGCATACAAGTTAAAGAAGGCCAACTCTCCAATGCCCAGATGATAGCGTGGTTAAATTAGCAGAGCCTATATTTTGACTACCTGGAGTAGGTCCAATCCTGGCTCTCTGGTTTACAAACTGAGGAACTTAAGGCAAGCTATCCCATCTCCCTCAATCTGAGTTTTCTCATGTATAAGTTGGGTAATATTAATAATTAAGAATTATTTGCAAAGAAAAAGAGATGTTTATAAATGTTTGTAAAGTACCTGCCAAAAATTAAGATTCAATAAATATTAGTTGCAACAATATTATATATAGTAATTAAAATAATAAGGAAGGGTTAGATTCTCAAAAACAAATGACACTGATAAACTTTATTTGCAAATATATATTTAAATCTTTGCCTCACAATAAACATCAAGATAATCTCAAAATTGATTGAAGAATTTAAGGGGAAAATGTAAAGAACTTTTAGGTGAAGATTTATTTAATATTGGGAAGGGCAAATTATAAAACTATTTATTTAATATTGGGGAGGGGAAACTATGTATGAAACTATGAATGAAAGAAATTAGAAAAGTATAGTTCCTGTATAATAAAAATACCATCATAAACAACATTAAAAGGCAAAAGAAAAATTACTAAAAATATTTGCCACAAATATGAAATGGTACAAGTCATTATTTTTAATAGGTAAGTCCTAGCAAGTCAACAGGAAAACAAGTACCCCAAAAGAAATATGACCAGTAAACACAGAAAAACAACTCATAGAAAAAGAAATATAGAGGTCTAATAAATATATGTAAAACTTGTTCATCAGTAATTAAAGAAATTTACTAGCAAACCAAGAAATCCATCCTCAAAGACAAAAAAATTTTATTTTATATTTATCAACATGATGAATTAATTTGATGGGATTTTTGTTTTTCATCTATACATTTTAAGAAAAAACCTAATTCTGGTAAGAGTTTGAGAGATTCCTGGTAAACATGCGAAATGACCTTTCTGTGGAATGTATCAAGATCTTTAAAATAGTTCACACACTTTAACTCTTTCAGGAATTTAAGCTAAGGAAAGCACTGAGACTCTGACTAATTTTTACATACAGTTGTTCTCCAAAGCATTATTTCTAATCTCCAAATCTCAGAAGAACCTAAGCCAGTATTTTCTAGCTCTTTTCACATCAAAACAAATATAGGAAATAATATTTGTACAGCACAGAGAGCCCCAGAATAGGCTGTTTGCACTGAATGATACTTTCACCAGTTACCAGAAGGAATGGAATGCTGAGGTCCCAGCTTATGTGTCACCAGTGCCTGGGACAAACTCATTGGGAATATCCAACCTAAAACCTGACGTCAATTCAAGTATGGCAACTCAATGTTATGATTGTAAATTAAAATTAAACACTTAAGCTTTGAAAAAATGAGTAATAAGAGGACATTTGGTCCAACAGATACTAAAACAGACAAGGCTACATAATGCACAGCCATTAAAATTAGGTTTATAAACAATTTTATGTGAGTATGCTCATTATGGAATGTTAAGAAAAGCATTATATACAGAGTCCAATTTCTTAACAGGGAATTTTCATGCAATGTGATCTAATAGTCAACATCCTTTCAAACATAGAGTTGCTAAAATAATGGTTTCCCAAATTATCATTTAATATACAATATGTTATGTCAACATAGTAGCAGGAATATGTTACATTTTTTTCTGTTTGTTTGAGTCAGCACATTCCTGAGACTCAGACTATATATAGGACCACGTGTAACAAGAAGCAAAAAAAAAAAAAAATTATCTTGATTAAATTAATGTGGTGAAGAGGTGGAAAGGATTCCACAAATGTCTAGGCTTCTGTAGGGAAGCCCTCTGAATGCAACCATTTTAAATAAGCTATGGAGTTGTCTCAGCTGAAAAAAGAAATGAACATATAAGGGAACCTCCTTTGTGGGGAACTTAATGTTTTTCTATTCCCACTACGGGATTCAATATTAACTTAATGTGTTTCCCAGCACATACCTGCCTAATTCATAATCAGATCTGTAGGGCTTTTGTAACACAAACGATCCATATTGCTTTTCTTCCTCTTCAGCCTACTTATATATCAATCAAAGGAAATCTTTAGTAGCTGACAATTACTTTAATAAAGAATTAGTAATAACTTCAAAATACTGTAAATGTCAAAATACATTTTTCTTTTTTGCCCATCATATTTAGAAGAATCAATGGACTCATGATTGGGATCTCTGGCTGTCACACATCTTCTTGGGTAATATTTGCTTGTAAATCAATTGTACTTGTTTGGTCCCAATGCATATTAGCCCTCTCTTCCTTCCCATTACCTTAAAAATTAAATGCAGAATTTAAGTGATCTCAAGAAATAATGTCACATTTTTACTAATAGAGAAACAGTGATGTTATGTAAAGGGACTGAATTAATTACCAAAGCCACAATCAATGTTTAAACATTTATTATGTCATACTTTATCATCTTAGGCCATTTTTCCCCTATGCAAATGTGACATTTAGAAGTTACATTTTCAAAACTCATAGATGTTTTAAAAAATAATATTTGCATAGGTTTGGGCAAATATTTCCACCCTCAAAGTGTTAGAAATCAACAGACCTAAAATGTCAAAAGGAAAAATCCCACCAGATCCCAAAAGTTGGTTAGATAACTTGCCTACTATAGCACTTAGTTTTAAGAAGTTTTATTGGCATCCTAGGCCTCTGAGTCATAAAAGCCTAGCAAAATTCCACAGACTGAAAGGAAAAAAAAATATCAAAAACCTTTAGGGTTGAACAAAATGTGTACTAATCACCGTTCTTTAGCAGAAAATTCATTGCTACAATTAGCTGCCAGCAATTTTCCAACACTATCTTTCAATAGACAAAATCCACCATAATTTATTACTTCTATTTGATGAGATGATAATGAACATTCATTTCTTTTCTTTTTCATTTTGTAAGAGTACAAGTTGAAATATGTTTAGCCTTAATTCTATAAATGCTAGTTGCGTGTCTGTTTTTCCATGATAGATATACAATGCAAGAAAAAATTGCAACTTGTTCATTAACTCATTCACTCAACACTGTTTGCATTGCCCAACTATTTAAATGAATTTACACAGAAATCATAAACTTTCTAAAATATGTGCAACAATTTACTTATCATAAAATTATGCTTGAGTATGAAAAAAAATTTGGAACATGTCTTATTGGAAACATTTAAAGTGTCAATTTGAAAGGATGATGTAACAGAAAATTTTTATAGGAAGAGAGTTGTGTGCAGGGAGTAACAATATTTGTAAGAAACAAAGTATAAAGCAGGGGTATCAGAATTCATAGGTAAATTAATAGTCTAAAGGTCCACTAAGTAACTATTCCTCACCCATATTTTACACTAGAATGGTATGGGTACACTTTATTTTTATGCTTGCTGTCAAGCCTAAGTGATAAGTTTGTAATTTTATTTCTTTCAAATGTATAGATCTTTTTCTGCATGTCTTACAAGAGAAGTGGGTGATATGTAGGAAAGAAGAAATGTGTTAGAAGAATGAGTCTCCAAGAGGACACATACTATTTGGCCTGAAAGTAGCATGCAGGTTTCTTGAGAAAAGAAATAAAAGGCATTTGTGCAACCTTCATGTTGTGAAAAATTATATGATTTCAGCAGATTGCCAAACTTCCCTTAAGTCTTAGCAATCAATGTTCATTGTGTGTAATGGAATTCCTCTTTTAACATAATTCCTAAAAGAACCCGAGATTTATTATAAGAGGATTCCATTCTGCTAATTAACTCTCAGACGGGGAATAGAAATACAGGTGGAACCCTACTGACCTATGTACTGCACTGACTGAATAAAATTCTTAAAAATTAACAGAAACTATTTACCTAATATTTTGTAAAAATAAATTCATTTAGGAATAATATTCTTGCTGTGAAAACTTTCTGAAATTAGATATCAGTTGTGTTACAGAAGATATATACATAGATGCTTCTTTATCTTTGTTTTCCAAGTATGGCTGTTATCAAAAGAGTATTATATCTACACCTTATCCAAATTCATTCTTTTTAAAGTTTATATCCATGGGATCTCGGGGAAATGTGGCGTGTGTGGGAAATTCCAACTTCACACAATCAGATCCAAGCCTCCTTGCTACTTGGGAGTGGAAACAGAAGGAATCCGAGAAGAGTGAAGAGGGAAAAAAGCCATCTGTTGTCAAAAAACATCAATAAACAGAATGCTTTATTTCCTAATCAACGAAGTACAACATATGGTAAGATTAAAAGTAATCAAACTTCACCTCCAATATAGCTAAGCAGATGCTTTATCAAGATAATTCAAGGATCACCAGAGTCTCTAACTTTTGGTTCAAGTTTGCCACGGGAATTTTTTTCTTAAACGTGTGTTCTTTCCTTCCTTCTCAGTTCTTTCCCAATTTCAGGATCTCCTTCTTGTCGTGCTGCCCTGGTTTCTCAGACTCCTCCAGTTGTGAAGGGCCCCAGCAAGACTGATCTTTATGCTCAAATGTACTGATCCCATCCTCTCATACAAATCTCCCTATTATCTACCTCAAGCTCTTGCTTTTCACTGTCTACTTAATCTACTGAATAATTCTATCTTTGATATTGGCTACTAATAATGGCCTACTTCTTGCCCCTTTTATATTGCATGTACCATTTAACAGGGACTCAGTGCATAAATATAAATTTGCAAATAAGTAATAGCTGTATGGATCCTGACAAGTTCAATGAAAGAGAGTTTGGGCACCGGAAAATATGAGCTTTCATCCTGCCCTGTCTATGTGACCTGAGACAGATCACAAGATCTCTTGGGAACTCAGTACACCCATCTGAAACTAAGTAAGTACTACTTACTTCACAAAAGGGTAGTCAAGGATAAAGGGGTGAGTCACGAGAATTACAAAATTCAGAACCCATTGATATTAAATATGCAAAGTGCTTAATAGTTAAAAAAAAGTGCTGTGCAAATATGTGATACCATTGCTACTACTATCGTTCTAGTTAATTTTATGTATCTCCCCAAACAGATAAAACTCTCCAGAAGGAAAATGTGCTAAAAAAGTAACTTTTAGTAACTCCTGGGCATTTTAGGAAATGTTGCCTACAGAAGTCTTTTAATTTTTCTTCTACTTTAAGAAGTGACAACCAGTCACACAAAGTGTGTGGGACTCAGCTTACAATAAGCTAGTCATTACTGAACAATTAATAAAATAAAATTTTTAAATTTACAAGGAAAAAAATCAGTAAGATATTTAATGTGAAATGCCTTTCATAATTATCTTTTCATCTTTCCTTTATACCCATATGTTTATTTACTACTTCTAAAACAAAATAGAATTTTCAAGATTAAGAAAACCATAGGAATTGTGAAATTCAAAAGTCATTGATATTAAGTCTTCATCAATCATTGATCTAAAAAGATTATGTATTATAGTTATGGAGTTAAAAGGTCATAATCAATGCATACTGCTTGGTATTTTTTTTCTTAAGTTTTTATTTCTTTTGGTTTATTGTTAATAAATGGATTTGCCTGACAAATCCAACTTTAATCTGCGCAGGCTGTTTGTCTGCTAAGATGCATTCCAGAACATACAGGAGGAGGAAAGGGAAATTCCAGAAGAATGACTTGCTTATTTGGGGGGAGGATAAAACCCAAATCTAAATGTTGCCTTTACCTCTCACTTAACTATTCACAAAATGTTTGAGAAATATTCCAAGCCCAGGATAAGCCACTAGAGAAAACAGTTTCCAAGAGTCTGTTACCCCCTTATTAATACACAACACCCGACATGGAAAGTTAGCAAATAGAGACAGCATGTGTTGAAACTAGTCTAAATGGTTTTGAGCATTTGTGGCATGTTTATATTTTTGCAGGATATGACTCAAAATTTATTTTGAAGTATTTTGTATTTCTTAGAGTAATAAAGAAAAAAGTTCTGTTTTGTTCCAATTCTTTATTAATATTTAAATAAAGTCACCCTTTTCTTCTTGATTTACTAAAAATAACATCCCAAGAAATACTACAGAAGTATGTTTAGGGAAGTTCCATCTAAATTATCATTATTCTAATGCAATTGATTTTTATTTTAATCCATATTTTCCTCATCATTCAAGCAATCATCATCTGGAAATTGTCCTGTTCAAGGTCCTGACATTGATTCATATATTTGTGTATTGCTTTTATCCCATTTATTTCCAAAAAGATTTAAATGGGTAATTTGACAAATAAAATTGGAGAATTTTCAAGAATTCAAAATCTAATGAAAGATAAATGAAAACAAAAAAATTGACCTATAACAAATTTTTTGCACTGGGAATGCACTATGTGAGCACTATGGAAAGAAACCAAAAATCTCTAAGTGTCAGTTTGAAATTACTCAGAAAATGTTTGATCAAATAAAGTTAATTTCTTTTTTTTCTTTTGGGTTATTAGGTATTATGAAGCAAACCAAATGCTATGGATAGACTATATCTTAATTTGAGACAGTGATTAGAAAAAGAATCTAATGGTATCTATTTAAGAATGGGGCAAAAATATGAACTTTGGTGGAATTCACAGCTGATTAAAAAAAAAAAAACCTTTGCAAAAAGTGATGAATGACAGATTATCACAACCTGAATCACAACATGCTTTTATCATCATGAGATTATGACATACTAACTTTTATAAATGGCAAAAACATTCCTTAAAAAAAATAAAATCAATGCAACCTTTGGTTATAATCCAAAAATAATATTTGTTCCAAGCACATAGCCCATTATACTCTATGATGTGGGAACATTATGTAGAACCCTAGATTTGGTTGTGGCATAACTCACATGTTGCCAGGGATGTGGCAAACAAGAATATGTTCAGAGAAAGCATCAAAGGTATTGAAATCTTTGAAAACTACAGGAAGTCAGAATTGGTTAAAAGAACCTATTGCGTTTTGGCTAAAAAATTTAAGTTCACAAATGGGGCACACTGATGGCTTCCAATATCTAAACATCAATTAAGTGTAAGAAGGATTAGCTATCACTCCAGGAATAGAACTAGGACTAATGGTGGTGAGGAATGGAAGAAAATATCTAATGAATAGGATTAAACGGTTTCCAAAGGAAATGGGAAAGCACTAGAAATATGAAGGATGTGCAGTACAAGGGACATTGACTAGCACCCAACTGCTGCCATCACTCTTCTTTCAGCTTTGGGACCTTGGTCCAGTTACTGAGCTTCTCTGAGTTCATGTTTTCTCATTTGTAGATTTGATATTCATGCATTGGATAGAGATGTGACCACAGCTTACTTAGAAAGGAAGAGGAAATGTTAAATTAGATGGTCACCATGTTTTGTTTTTTTTTCTATTTCTAAGATTCTGTCATTTTACAAAAAGGGAAAATACAATAGTTTTAATCTCATGGTCAGGAATTATTGCTAAACCATATCATTCATTCAGCATATATGTATTAAGGGCCTATTTATTATGTGTAGGTACTCTTCTTGGGATACAGAAGTGGAAAAAAAGATTCTTATATTACACCTTATATTACAGTGAAAAGAGATGGACAATAAATGAAACAAAAGAGTAAATTATATAGCATAGTAGAGGTCATAAGTACTATATAAAAAATGAAGAAGAGAAATACAAAATTTTAAATAGGGTCAAGGAAGCTGCAATAAGAAAATAACACATGAGCAAAGATACATTAATTTCACCAGTAATTTTTTTAAATTAATTTTATTATGAAGTCCATTGGAAAATATGGTGCCTTTAATTAAATCCTATGATCCAAATAACATTTCAAATAATGTAATCTCATCACAGAGTGTTACGGACTAAATTATATCCCCTTAAAATTCATGTTGTAGTCCCAGTCCCACTATGTCAGAATGTATTTAGAGACAAGATCTTTAACGAGGTAATTTAGTTAAATGAGGTTATTAGGCTGGACTCAAATCCAATAACCCTGGTGATACTGATGATGTATTACTGGTGATAAGAAGAGATTAGGACACAGAGAGGTACATAGGAAGACAATTAAAAAAACAAGTAAATGAATACACTTACGGGTCCTGTAAAGTTAGCTGCTTTCTCTAATTCTTCACCCTCTTCCATTAGAGCTTCTTCGGTCCCAGGAAAAGAATCTATTTTTATTTTTAAAAAAGAAGAAATTATAGTCACATTTTGCTTATTAATTCTCCGATATATAAACTTACCATGAGAAGGATGTTTAGTACCCAAACTGGTTGTTGGAAAAATCATTCTGTTTGTGAGTTAAAATAGAATACAGAATAGCATGATTGTGATTTAAAATAGAATGCAGCATAATATTTATTTAGCTTAAAGACAACTTACAAAAAAATGATAAGTATTTCTAACCTAGAAGGACACAATAAAATCAGGAATGTGTAAGAGCTACTGTTATCTTACTTATGCAAATAAAGCAACACTTTTTAGTGTATTACTTAGCTAATTGTTAGAACATATTTATATTTAATGTCCTTTTTCTGGTTTATAATTTTATATTTATTTGTCTTATCCATCAATTTTTTTTTCAGGCTACATGATTTAAGTACCATTTTATTCTGTCTTTTAAATGGGATGGGACGTTCTGAAAAGAGTTTAGAGAAAGGTGCATATTATTATATGGTGGTATGTTCTCCATTTCAATGTATCAAGGGAGAGTTTGCAATTAGTCTGAATATATTGAGGAGTAGGTGAATAGTGACTTCCAAATATGCAAATAAAATGATATGTCTGCTGAATTAAATTAATTATAACAACAAGGATTTATATGGATTATAAGAAATTTTGCCATAGGAGTAGATATATGTAGCAACCAGAAATAATCTATACCAGAGACTGTCAACTTCCCTTGGTTGAGTTTGAGCTCATTTTCAAATTAAAAAATCAGTTAAGAGGAAGGTATTTTAGATCATTGAATTTTAAAATTAGTTTCTTATATTTATTAATATTTGAGAAGGCTAGGCACGGTGCTTCACGCCTGTAATCCTAGCACTCTGGGAGGCCGAGGCGGGAGGATCACTTGAGCTCAGGAGTTTGAGACCAGCCTGAGCAAGAGCAAGGCCCCATTTCTAATAAAAATAGAAAAATTAGCCAGGCATGGTGACATGCAACCTATAATCCCAGCTATTTAGGAGGCTGAGGCTGAGCTAGACTGATGCCACAGCACTCTAGCCTGGACTCTACTATTAATAGGTGCTCTTAAAACAAGTTTAAAAAGATAATTTTGTATGACTCTTTTCTTTCATGGAATTTGCTTGAGAGAAATTTTGTAAATTTACATTTATAGTACAATATTAATTTTTAACAAAAAGAACATTTATTAATATAAAGAGAAAATATTGGTAACTTTTCCTAGTTTACATTGTGTTCTGTTCTTGTTTTGGTTGAATTCTTCCTGGTTATTGGTGCCATATCCAGTGAGATCTGTAATATTGTACTATCTACTTAGTTTTGCATAAAGAGACAACTATAAAGTGCTACTAGAATATTTGAGCATTTACATATCTGACCACCTTTGAAAATTATTAAATTGAATGGACCCTGCTAAACAGTCCATATCTAATAATAAGATATCAATCTAACAAGCTAATAGGGGCAATAGACTTCATGAAAATAAAACCTTAGTGTTTAAAGCTAGAGGAGTAAACTCCATTTTTTGTGTTCTGAGCACATTGCTTATTAACAATAATTGGCGGATGCATATGTACACACTATTTTGCTCTGTCTGCTCCAGAGCAATTTCTTTTATAAGTATAAATGATTTTCAAAATACAAGTGATTATTTCTTTGAGCTTTTTCAAATCACATATGGGTGGATGGGAAATGAGTCCATAAATTTGGCAAATATTACAGAGTTCATTGTGTCCTCATTTTAGAGAAGAAGAAACTGAAATAGAAAGGTAAAGTAATTTTGTCAAAATCTAACAATCTTTGTCAGCACTTGTACTAGAAATTTTGCCCCTGTGGTTGACTGGACATGCTGGTAAAAACCTGGAAATCTGTAGCTTTTATCATAATGTTTAGCTTCATTCAACTACTTCCTGCCATTATTTTTACTTTTGCTGCTTGTGTCACAACAGGTTTTTAATGCACAAAATTGTACCTATTTATAGAAATATTTCTGTTTGTTGACCCAGGTTCAATGTGGATGCACAGTTGATATAAACCACATTAGAGCTTTTGGATAATGCAATATATTCTATTATTGGATCTAGTGATTGACTAACTTAAGTAGAAAAAAATCACTAAATCAGAAATCCATATGGTGGAATTTCTTGATTAGGTATACTAATATTTGAATTAAAGAATGTAGGATATAAACATTTTAAGAAAGAGTTTAACTTAATGAATATAATTTTCCAGTGGGCACATGAGTATAATCAACAACATATTACGATATATTGTTTAATTTCCCATAAATTTAAATCCCTACAATTCTCAGGAATTATATAAATATTAGCTGAAGGATTTATATGTGAAGCTTGGTGAATTGAGTAGTCTTGATATAATTTTAAAATTAATGGCAAGTTATTAGATGGTATCTATTGTGTGTCTGGTTTTGCATTGGACATGATGGAGAACACGAAAAAATTCAAGTAGCATATAATCCAATTAAAGGGAGAAGAACAAAGATGTAAGAAGCAATTCTAAACAATTAGGGGCTGAGAGAAAGGAAACATTCCTGCAGGCTAGACATAAGGGAGATTTAACATGATCTTAGAGCAGAGGATCTGCATAGGCAGAGGGAGGAAAAAGAACTATTACTAGTCAGGGAAGAATGGCCTAAGTCAAGGTTCACATGCAAAATTGTCTGGGAGGAGAAACCAGGTGACTCCAGAAGCTAAGCAATGTCAAAGATGGCCAGTCTGGGCCTTCATGCTGCTATCCCAGCATTCATTGTCAGGGAAAAGAGTCTATCATAAGAATGTTTCATATCATCGGTGCTATAATAGATTGCATTTGTATAAACAATTTCATTTCTTATATTACACTACACTGCATTGTTTATGTCCCACAGCACTTTAGGTTTAATGTATTAGATATATAAGTTATTATATTTAATGTTATAGATAATATTGACATTAAAACATAATATAATATATATACATATGACATATAAAATCTATCTCATATATAAATAAATATAATAAAGTATGTAATGCAAAAGCCAATGATAAATAAACACCTCCCCCAACTTAAGAATTAGAGTATTTCCAATAACCTTCATATACCTATGGCTCCTTCCTACCACCTTCCCCCTTCCCCCTGAGAATAACGCCTATTTGGTCTATATTCTCTTCTTTAAATATAGTTTTATAACTTATGTATGTTTTCCTAAAGAACATATTATTTAGATTTTCTTGTTTTGAGCTTTATAAAAATGGCATTCTATAACTTGTTTTTGTTCAATCAGTGTTATGCGTTAGGACACATTCAGTGATGAGCAGAACTTGCTCACACACCACACCGGGAGAATCAACTGCCACGTCAGGTTGGTTGCTTGAAATCAGCCACAGTGGGAGTATTTGTATCATGCAAACCATCAATCTCTACAAAAGGTGGCTTCCTTTTTAGGGGGAAACAGTTGTTAAACATTAACCAGCATGCCACAGACTTTATCTGTCCCATGTGTGTAGCTGAAATGCATTCAGTTTTCTATAGTGTAATAACTCCACAATATCCAATTCCCTGTCCATGAACATACTAACAAGGGTTGTTCAGATTTCATGGCACAGGAGACTTGTTTCTCTAAGATATTTACCTAGAAATGGAGTTTCTAGGTTTAAGATTATATAAATGCTGAAGATTTTAAGATAGTGAAAAATTGTTTTCCAAAATTGTTTATATCCCAGCTGTAGTGTATAAGTTCATTTCTATTCACCTATGTTTTCACCAGGACTTAGTTCTGTCAGCTTTCCTAACGCCAAACAAAAGGTTGTGAAACAGTCTCTCTCCATGGTCTGAATTTGCTTTTCCCTGATGACTAGCATATGGTAGTTTAAATGGTTTTTCATTTGCTAACTGGCTTTTTGTGTTTCCTCTCTGTAAAATGTCTATTCATATCTGTTGCTTATTTTTCTATTGGTGTGTTGATTTTTTATTTATTAAATTATAGATATTCTGAACCTTAATCTTTGGTCAGTGGCAAATACCTTGCAAATGTCTTCTCCCATTTTGTGGCTTTTCTTCTGGCATCTTTTGCTAAACATGAGTTCTTAATTTTCTATAGTTGAATTTTTCAATTATTTCTTTTATGATCAGGAATTTTGTCATCTTCTTTAAGATGGCCTTTTCTATCCAGGTGTAAGGAAAATATTTTCCTATAGTTGATTTTCTAACTAACCTGGTTAGATATACTTACTGCATGCTGCTAAAACACCTACTAATGAAGAAGTGCTGTATCTTAGATGTCACTGGAGTAGCATTACCTGTATTTATTTATTGATTCAGCAAACATTTTGAAGTGCTCTGACACTACCTTTGTATGCTAAGTTAGGGGGTTTGAATTTTGTCCTATAGAAAATGGGGATGGAATAAAAGATAGATAACGAGCTAAAGAGACATGAGACAGTGCAAGCAGGGCAAAGAATGTTGTTACACTGAAGACTGGTTTCATGGAAGACAATTTCTCCACCAACCAGGGGAAGGAAGGAGATAATTTCAGGATGATTCAAGTGCATTACATTTATTGTGCAGTCAAATCTCTCTGCTAATGAGAATGTGTATTTGCAGCTGCTCCCCAACGCTAGCATCACCGCCTAAGCTCCACCTTAAATCATCAGGCATTAGATTCTCATAAGGAGCACGCAATCTAGATCTCTCACATGTGCAGTTTACAGTAGGGTTCGTGCTCCTATGAGAATCTAATGCCTTCACTGATCTGAGGGGAGGCGGAGCTCAGGCGGTGATGCCAGCCCTGGGGAACAGCTGTACATGCAGATGAAGCTTCAATCACTCACTGGCTACTCACCTCCGGCTGTGCAGCCCAGTTCCTAACATGCTGTGGCCTGGTACCTGGGGGTTGGGGACCACAGCACTAGATGAAGAGGAGAAAAGCATAGGCCAGGCCATATCAGGGCAAATGAAGAATCAGCTGGCTCAAAGAGGAAATCATGAAGTGACACAAACATGATTAGAGACCAATTTAACATAAGGCTGGGAGAGGGGGAGTATGATATTGTCAAGTATGAAATTGATTTTTCTGCCCAAGAAGAATGAATGGATCAATGGCGTGAGAATGGGAGTAGGAGATAGAGCGAGTTTCAAGGGGCAGATAATGAGCTCCATTTTCTGGAGAGCCAGCAGGCAATGTGGAATTCTAAAAACAAGTTGGAACTAGTGACATAATCTGGGGAGTAGCCCACATATAGTTGATCTGTTTGGACCTTAAACAGGACAGGCACTAAGAGGCTGCTCCTCAGAATCCACACTTCTCACCCCCCTTTCTCCTTTGCCCTTAACCTCCTGACACAAGCAGCCTGAAAGAGTGTGCTAGAGGTGGGCCCCACAGCTACGGTGATTTTGTGCAGGAGAAGTTCAGTTTAATTTCTTTCTTGTTTTTTTTTTTTTTGTTGTTGTTGTTTTTTAATCTTTACTTGCCACTAGAACTGCAGTAAATATTGCTGGATTTGAAACTTACCCAAAGAATCTGGGACTGTTTCATCTGGAGAATGAAGTATCTGTAATGTCTCTTCTGTCCTCTCTGCCAGGTTGTCTCCTTGAAGCCTAAATAATTAAAAATGGTCATTGAAACCTCTGATAACGTTAAATTGTGAAATACGAACTACATGCTATCGGGGACATGACTGTGAACTTCTAAACTCCACAATCAGATATGCTTCTTCAAAGTGGAAAGAAACATTTACTAAAGCCATTTTAATATAGGAGTTTTGCTTTTCTAACCTTTAAGGAAAAGTCTTCTGTATTTCCTCTTATGTACATGGCAAGAGTGGTCTATGTAGGATCTGCTTTTCTTCTCAGCCTGATCAGATAGAGGTTCAAAAGCAAATGTTTTCATTGAAACTACAAAGAAGAATCAAGTGGAAGGAAAACAAGAGTCCAACGCAGTGTGCTCCCCAAATTCTGGGTCCAGGAATCATGAGAGGATTTTCACGATTCCACAGAGGTTTGTCACACACAGTTCTCCAAATCAACCTACCTGTGCAGAAAGGCCTGCGGGTCAAGATAAATCTCTACAGTGGTTGTGAAGATCTGTAATGTGCGTGACTGCCCGGGGTTCTCACAGACAGTGGGTCTTTTTCAGAAGAGCATGACTGTGTAGGTACTTTTCTTTTTTTTCTGAGACAGAGTCTCACTTTGTTGCCCAGGCTAGAGTGAGTGCCATGGCATCAGCCTAGCTCACAGCAACCTCAAACTCCTGGGCTCAAGTGATCCTCCTGCCTCAGGCTCCCGAGTAGCTGGGACTGCAGACATGTGCCACCATGCCCGGATAATTTTTTGTATGTATATTTTTAGTTGGTCAATTAATTTCTTTCTATTTTTAGTAGAGACAGGGTCTTGCTCAGGCTGGTTTTGAACTCCTGACCTTGAGCAATCCGCCTGCCTCAGCCTCCCAGAGTGCTAGGATTACAGGCGTGAGCCACCACGCCTGGACTTGTGTAGGTACTTTGACAACAGCATATGTCTGAGCTTTTATATGCTCACTTCTACAGTGAGAAAAGTGAGCTAGCAACATCCGATTCACGACCGGTTTATATGACACTCTAAAACCACATTATCAAAGGAGGCAGAGTGCAGCAATATATTTTGGAACTTGATTTAAGAATAGCAGAGCAAATACAACTCTGCTAATGCTAAAGGACAGTACATCAAACAATCCAGAGATTGGAAGTTTCTACCAGTGTCCTTACTTTTTTCTTCTACTTAGCTAATGGCAAGTGTCCTCATAGAAGAATATTATTCCATGCATGCCCTATAATATTAAAATTTTTAAAAACACAATTCATAATTGCACTGGGTTTGCATGTTATTGTTCTCAACCATTTTATATCTTTGCTTTTATATATTACAGCAAAATCACATAATTTTCTTTCAACTTTTGCAGTTTCAACCATGTATGTATCTCTCTCCTTGTCTTGTGTGTGACTATAAATATTGTAAATTATACCTGCATTTTAATTTTTCGAATATTAAATTCTTCACATTTCTGTACATATTCTATATTTATACCTACATATTACCTTTGATACATAAAACTGTATTTACAATACAGTATAAAAATACAATACAGTATAAAATAATTAAAGAATTCTCAAAAAGAATTTCCTGATGGTTGCAACACTTTGAGGTCAGCTATGTATGGTTTCATATTTTTCATTTTTAAAAATTTTACTTTGAAAAAAAGCACTACTTTTAAATAAATAAGTTACCTACATATTTCTCAAATCTTCCCTACTATTTCTTCATTTTATTCACTTCAATTAGGAGAGCTGCTTTATCAAATATTCTTTTTTGAGCTCTGTTTGTCCAGAACCATCCTACCAAAATCATCAAAGAGAGAAAGTATAGAGGTACATGAGATAGATTAATGTTGTAAATAAAAATTATTATTAAAAGTGTACAATGAGCCCCAACACATTTGAGTATTTAACATTAAGTTAAAACCTTAAAAGGAAAATAAATCTCCAAAAAAGACAGAAAGAAACAAGACATAAAAATGATGCTGTCAATTTTTTAGCGTGCTCAGTAATAAGCCAAATGTTACAGAGATGCAAAGAAATTGTAACTGTTCCTGATTCCACACAGTTTTCAATCTAGCTGAGTTAAAGAGACAAGTGGCCATGAGTAAACACCCAACGGATTGGGTGGCCCTGAAGCTGGCTTGTCTTTGTCCAAACACTGCCCTCTCAATACCTTAAGAGTTGAGTCTACCATGACTTGGCACCAGTTCCACTGTGGAATGCTTTATAGTCCTGCTGTCTTTGCGTGCTCTGCCAGGGTTCCCCAAGAGTAATGCACACAGCACTACTTCTGTGAGAGGGTAATAGGCGTGGTGCTAACAAGGGCCGTGGGCAGGTCCGGGAAATTCAGTCTTAATAGGAGAAAATCATGATTCTAGGATCTACCAAGGGCCGAATCCACTCTAAGGAGGGAGTTTTGAATAGTGTAAGCAGTGGGAGAATAGGAAGGATGATCTATGCCATTTTGTTTTTATACTTCTCAAAAAAATCCAAAACATCCAATAAGGAAATATAGTTTCTTTTTCATTTTTTAAATCCTGGTATCAGCTGTCAATTCAGTTAAGCCATGCGATGGATGAGAGAATATTCAAGTAAGTGAGTTCTTCATTTTCTCATGTTAGATTAGATGATATTCAGATTTTAGATTCATGTGCAGTCATCTTTCTGTGTTACCAGGCAGATACACACACACACACACACACACATTATTTTCCTGAATAATTTCTGGAAGAAAACAGTATCTAAGGAGTAGACATTTATCAAATTTTTTTAACTGAATTGGATACACAATTATATATATGAAATTAAAGGCCAAACTAATATTTCTAATTTATACAGAAATTCAAAGGAAACAATAAACAAAATCTGAATTAATTGGAGAAACTTTAATGCAGTCGGTACTACTTAAACTGAGCTTTGAAATAATATTAAGATTCGATGAGGTGGAGAAAGACAGAGGGAGCTCTAGGCAAGGAGCAGCCAAGTAACAGATTATAGTCAGGGTGGGAAAAGGAGCCTCCCTGGGGGAAAAGGTAATAAAAGAAAAAAAGAAAAGGAGAGAGAGAGAAAGAAAACACCAAGCATAACAAAAACTGACTAATATTAATGAGTTTAGTGAAAGAAGTATATTGAGAGCAACAAAGTGTCAAGATTGACACGTTCAGGTGGGATCTTGCACACCATACAAGAGGAATTAGACTTCATTTAGCACAAAGCTTTGAAGGTTTTTGATTATGTGCCTAATATGATAAAAAGCTGTGCTAAGAATAGCCTGAGCAAGAGCAAGACCCCATCTTTACTGAAAATAGACAAAATACGCCAGGCGTGGTGGTGCACCTGTGGTCCCAGCTACTCAAGAGGCTGAAGCAGGAGGATTGCTTGAGCCCAGGAGTTGGAGGTTGCAGGGAGCTACGATTACTCCACTGCACTCTACCCCAGGTGACAGAGCGAGATTCTGTCTCAAAAAAATGCTTTGCTAAAACATAATATTTACCTTTGGAATGGTGAAATCTAGGAGGATGTTTGGCAAGTTTTTGCAATAATCCAGCAACAGAAGAGCAAAAGCTCAGAGTAAGGAGGGTCTGTGGAAAGCACACTGTTCCAGGTGCTGGGGGTGGAGTAGTGAATGAAGTAGACCAAATTCCCATCCTCACAGCACTTCCATTATGCTGACTGGCGATGATGAAGAAACAAGCAAAACATGTAGAATCAGGTGTTGATAAGAAATCTGGTTAAAATTAAAGGAAGGAAAAGTAAAGATGGAAAGAACTTGGGGAGGGTCTGGACAAAGGGTAGTGTGTGACTCTAGAGAGTGTGTCCAGGCCTCCCTTGAAGGTAATCTTTGAACCAAAACTTGGAGAAGTGAGAGAGTAAGCAACCTAGACCCCTGGGGAAGAGAGTTATAGGCAGCAGGAATAGCAAATAGAAGGATTTTGAGGCCAATGACTAAAGTGGATTGAACTAGGGGAAAAATAGGAGTACACTTTGTCAGTGAGGTCGCGGGGGCTAGATCAAGTAGGACATTGGATGGTGCACCACCTAGTCTCCTTCCCTGACAACAATGGGGAGCCTTGGAGAGTTTTGGAGCAGAGGAGCACTGTGATCAGACTTTTGCTCCAACCTGCTGTGAGGACAGACTGTAGGGGCAAGCATAGACCCTGGAGACGCCTTGGGAGGCTATTGTACCAGTCTTGGTCAAAGATGAGTGTAGCTGGCTCAGGGTAGCAGTGCTGGAGGTGGTGAGAAGTAGACTGGTTGTGGATAAATTCTGTAGCTGGAGCCAACAGCATGTTAGATAAATTAGACTTTAGAGGTAAGAAAAAGAGAGGGGAAAAAGTGTTGCCAATTTTTTTCGCTGAGCAACTGATCATGCTGCCATTTACTTGCCAAGATAAGGAAAACTGAGAGAAATTTGGTGGGGAGAAATGACATTGAGTTTGGGGCATGGTATGTTTAAAATGCATTTTAGGGACCATATTTTACTTTATGGAATGAAGTGTTGCCTGATTCTAGAATCGTAATTGATGCCAATTGAGATCTTAAAGCTAAAAAACAAAAACTAAAATAAATAAATACATAAAATGCATTTCGGACATGTAGGTATAGGTGTTGAGAGGCAGTTGGACACCCATGTAGAGATGCTGAATAGGCTGTTTGGAGCTGTGAGGAGAGCTTTGCCCTTTATGGGTTCCAAAATCCCTACAAAGAACTTCAGAATATGATATACTACTATTTAATTCAACTGCTTAGAATATTATGGTATTTTGTTTCACTGCAAAATAAATAGTATATCCCGATAAATGTCCATTAGATCAGGGAACCACATTAAACAAGTCTGGGTTTTAAGAAATTTTGAACCATTTTCTTCAAAGGGTTAGAAAATTAACTTATCTTTCCCCTCCAAAGTCTGCTTTTAATTCACAAAGCCTCTTTCATAACAACAGTCATCATGTTACTTCTAAGCTTCTCTCTAAATGTTAATTTTCCATTTTAGGATTTCAGTCTGTTTCTCCAGATTTACTTTTT